TAAGGGATATATTGGGGTTTTTTGCTTTGGGAGTGAATGAAGCCTGAATAGATCAATTGTGTGAGCACTGGGAATCCAAAAGGAGGAAACATTTTGGTATAAATAGTTTGCTGTTATGGGCAGGTTGGAGTCCCTCCATTGAAGATTGTAGTTGTTATGTCTTTGGGAGAAAAAATGCTTTGCACATTTAAGTACATCATCTGATTCCCCCTCTCCACCCCCCCATCACAGATTTTACAGAGATGACTAGCCCCAGGCATCTCAGCTCTGGTACCTTCTTCATCCTCCACAACCTTGACTATGTCTCTAAGCTCATTTAGAGCCAGCCTATGCTCCAAGGGGATCTAGCAGGCAAATCCATGGTTTGAACTCATCAGACCTCTGGAATTTACATGTGCTGTAGTGTCCTGTAGTGAAGCTGCCAGGCTGCTGCTGGCCAGATCCGGCACACACTGGAGGAGTGGTTCGGATGGGAACAGGATACACAGCTAATGAATGAGGCACTCAAGCCACACCAACAGGGTCAAAGCCTGCTGTACTCGTTAGCCTTCAGTGCTACGGTTGGGATCCCCACATGGAAAAAGTGGGGTGGGAAGCACAAATGGGTAACTCTCAGTGATTTTACTGGCTCTGTGCCAGCGCTGTGGAGGCTGCAGCTTTATCTTTTTGCTTCTCCTTGTAAGACATGTTAGGATGCTGCCAAGTGCCAGAGGTTTATATTTGCTTTAGCGCTGTTAAAAAAAAAAAAAAATTGTCACAGGTTTCCTATAAAAAACAGTTTTCAGCTGGCTTTTTTTTCCCCCATTGCTCATTTGTTGTGCTGTCCTCCTGCACTCCCACCTCCTGTGTCCCCATCTTGTATGTGGCTTGCAAGCTCCCTGCAGCAGAGCTGGGCCTGACTTCACAGTTCCTGGCATGAGGGGGCCTGAATCCCCAGCAGAGGCTCATTCATTTCCCTGGAGCATCCCTCAGCCCAGGAGGCGCAGACAGCTGTATAGGGGGTATGCTGGTCTGGGGCAGCTGTGTCTGCTGTTGCTAAGGCTTAGAGGCAGTTTTCAGAAGCTGTTTACATGCTTATTTCAAGCTTGGGCTCCTAAATGTCCTTTAAAATCCCCCCTTTGGTGTGTTTGTTATATATTTGTAAAATATCCTTTTATTTGCCTCAGGGGGACTCTTCCAAATTTGAAAATGAAGTAGGCAGGGGCTGGACTGCAGGGCCACCACTCCTCAGCTGCATGTGGCTGCTTGAGGTTTGGAAACAGCTTTGGCTTTGCACCACAGAGACACAGCTTCTGTTTATTTGCTACTTAATGAAAATAAATGAAAACCAAAGGATTCTCAAGTGTAAAACTGAACACTTGAGGGCTGTTCTTCCTGGAGAACAGCCAGCTACCTGCCAGCTGTATTATGCTTTCTGCTACTGGTGAGTCCTGAGTGTTGCAAGACTTACTGATTTCAGCCAGGCGTGGGGTCACCCTGCTTGCAGCTTTGCAGAGAGGCAGACAGACAATTAGGAAGTCCAGGCAGACGCTCCTGCTGTTCTGGATGAGGAGATCCAGCGATGGGTATTTGTTTGTACCTGGTTGCACTGGCTCTAGAACTGCTCATCAGTGGCTCATTTTCACAGCTTTCTCACAAGATGTGACCAGGGCAGTAGGTCATAAAGCAAGGGGCTGCCACGCTACAGCACAGCTGTAATTAACGTAACTGGTCCTGCTCTGCCCCGTTTAGCTTGGCTTGCCCAAACCCCTGCAACAGCCACACCTCCACTGCTGCGTTCACGTTTCCCACTACTCCCTCCCTGCTGCCTTTCTGCCTACAAACTCCTTCCCATCACCCTGCCCCAGTAGGCTGCTAGCCTACATTTTCCAGATATTTTTCATGAAAAGTTTCCATCAGACCAACCACTGAGCGCTGCACAAAGTGGTAGTATCAGCACACACATAGCAATAACGTGCTCAGGAATTAAGGCTGCTTCCCTGCCAAGGCAGAGCAGACCCCATGCATGCCAGGGCAGAAGAGCTATTGTCTGTGGTAGCATTGGCTCTGCAGGAGAGGAAACTGCCTTCCCATGTTACGCATGGGCCTGTGCTCTTGTAAACTAGGATCATGCAACAGGAGGAACCAAAGTGATGTGCTCTCCATCTTCTCCTTAATGCAGTAATACCTCTCACAAAGCCGCTTGCCACCTGTAGGAGTTACTATTTTCACATCATTACCTGAATACGCCTGTTGTTTCACATTGATGTTCACGCCGGTCTTAACCTAAAATCGTCCTGGTGAAGCATCAGAAGCTCTGACGTGTGATGATCAAGTGAATGCATCTACGTAGCGTATGGTGTCCATTAGAACTGTCTCCACTGGTAAGTGGCAGGGTTAAAGTAATTTGAAATTGAAATATTCTGCTGTTTGACTTGTGTTCTGTACTGTCCTTCAAAAGGTTGGGGGTGAAAGGCTGATAAGAAAAGGTTGTTAACCCTTGAACATTATCTACTCCCATGGCTGTCCTATGGTACATGCCAGTATTGCCAAGTTTGACCTCAGCTGATGCAGTAATTAAAATGGACATGGTGAAAGACTCATTAATGTAACAAAACTGACCAAAGATTGTGTGGCAAATGGAACTGGTGATGAGAGAAGCATGTAAGATTTCTACAGCTAAAAAGTTGTAGAAAAAGTAGCCTCAACACTGAGAAAAACTAACCTATTTCCCCCCAAAACTACACAATGGTAAGAAAACACAGGCAGAACACTTAATGCAAACACTTACTACTCTAGATATGTACATATGACTCTTGTTCTACCTAAAGGAAAGAATGATTTGACCTTGGATCCCCTGCAAAGTCTGTACATGTATTTCAACCAGCACACGTCCTAAAACCCAGACTGCCCAGGCGATGCGCCCACTTGGCATTTTAGAATGAGAGGGAAAGGAGGTGGAGGGAGAGCCAGCATTGCTTAGAGCCTCAAAGCAATGACAGCCCATACACATGAAGCACACTACAAAGGCCAGGGAAAGGCAAGGCTGCACCCTGGAGAACTCAGAGGGGCTCTTCAACCCAAACAGGATCTGCAGTCAGAAGCCCCCCCTACCCTCCCCCTGCATCCACTTCCAAACACAGCAGCCTGGCAAACACCCACCTGGGCAAGCTACCACAGCCTCAACCGCAGAGACAGAAGGTACTCTGGAAGAATTAGTCTCCCCTTGTACTTGTACAAGGCTCCACAGGTGTGTTTTGAAATACAGCTGCATGTATCATGTTTTTATGCACCAAGGCAGTCCTGGGCCACAGCCCAGCCCCCTTGGATTCAGCCTAAAAGCCCAGCTGCTGAAGACTAAAACCTGGGCATGCCAGCTTCAGTTTAGCTTTTAAAATAAAACTTTTGTCTTTCTGTTTGTGATGGCTGTTAGCATGACCTCAGCATAACCACTGCCAGAACACCACTTGTCTGAGTCTGCAAAGATCCTCTAATACAGCTCAGAGATATGAAGGATTTCACTCATCCTCACAGCATTTTTAATTCTGCGACACTACCTGAGGAGCACTACTCGTCAAAGAATGAGATGTGTCAGAATAGCACAGGGCTGCTCACTCAGCTTTACTGACTTTGCAAAAGTCAATTATCCAAAATGTATTATTGTGCCTGCACTTCTCTGGGCAATTTAGGAGTGGGTGGCCACAGCTGTTGTCCTCATAAAGAGATGGAAGTGCCTCATCTCATGTTCTGTGTGGAAATCCCTCTTTCCTTGTTAGCCCAAACTGAAAATTGTACAGGAAAAGTAATCACAGGCAGGGTACAGGGCACTTTGTGATTTTTGCAGGTTGCAGTTTGAGATGAAGTTCAACAAGGCCAAGTGCAAGGTCCTGCACATGGGTTGGAGCAATCCCAAGCACAAATACAGGTTGACTGGAGACTGGATTGAGAGCAGCCCTGAGGAGAAGGACTTGGGGGTGTTTGTTGACGAGAAGCTCAACATGACCCAGCAATGTGTGCCTGCAGCCCAGAAAGCCAACTGGATCCTGGGCTGCATCAAAAGAAGTGTGACCAGCAGATCGAGGAAGGTGATTCTGCCCCTCTACTCTGCTCCCATGAGACCCCACCTAGAGTACTGTGTCCAGCTCTGGGGTTCCCAACATAAGAAGGACATGGACCTGTTGGCGCGAGTTCGAAGGAGGGCCATGAAGATGGTCAGAGGGCTGGAGCACCTCCCATATGAGGCCCCACAAGACAAGCTGTTGTTGTGCAGCCTGGAGAAGAGAAAGCTCTAGGGAGACCTTCTAGCAGCCTTCCAGTAGCTGGAGGGGGACTACAAGAAAGCTGGAGAGGGACTTTTTACAAGGGCATGTAGTGACAGGACAAGGGGTAACGGTTTTAAGCTGAAAGAGGGTACATGTAGATTAGATTTAAGGAAGAAATTTTTCACTGTGAGGGTGTTGAGGCACTGGAACAGGTTGCCCAGGGAGGCTGTGGATGCCCCATCCCTGGAGCTGTTCAAGGCCAGGCTGGATGAGGCTTTGAGCAACCTGGTCAAGTGGGAGGTGTCCCTGCCCATGGCAGGGGGGTTGGAACTAGACGATATTCAAGGTCCCTTCCAACCCAAACCATTCCATGATTCTGTGATTGCATCCTGTAGGGGAGGTGCAGGCTCTCACTGATGTGAACTCCCTGCAGCTCTTCCACAGCTTGTGCTGGACAAGGTCACCTAATTGTGCATACCTCACTTTACTTGTGAAGTGAGGTTAAACATGAAAAACAATAGACAAAGAGTATTTCTTAAAGATTTTATAAATATTTAAAACCTGGAACTTTTGAAGGTATAAATTACTCAACTGGTATATCAAGAAGCACTGATGAGGGAATGGGAAGTCAACAGTAACAAACCACTTTGACACAGTATCTCCACACTCTGCTCAGAGAGGTGCTTCACTGAAAGAGGTGAAGTGTCTTCACATGCCTGGTGTACCAGGTGCTTGGCAAAATGTTAGCAGAGATACTATTTAGAAATCTTCATCATCGAAGGTCTCGGTGCACCTCAACATCACAGTCTCATAATCGAACTGAAGATCTTCTTCCTGAAAGCCACCCCAAAGTCAAGCAGGGTTAAAAAACACAAGAATTGATTGTGTTTCAAATATACAGCTAGTTGCTCAAGTGCTGGCATGTGTCAGATGAACCCTCCTTCCTCTCTGAATCAGCAACCAGCACTTGTCAAGTGCCTGAGGTGCTTGATGAAGAATGGCTCAAATGTTCAACCAATTTATTTTTAAAATCACAGGGTTCCACCCTGTGTCTATTTACATCATTTACACAGGTTTTACTGACCGTGGTAGCAAGCAGGTCACACAACAGGCTCTGAAGATATGAGAGCTTCCTTGAGCCTTTAACTTCTACTGACTTCAGGCTTTGCTGCTCTTTCAGGAACAGAAGGAAATGGTCTTCTCTTTCGCCAACTTACAGAGAATAAGTGGCTCTTCAGAAATCAAAGTCTAGGAGATGAAAGTGTTCATGCCTGCAGTCCATCTAGTCCGCCTTCTGCATTGATGCAAGACTCTTTAGGGCAAGACTGCTTTTAAAAATAGGTGCTATTTAAAAAAATGTATAGCTTAAGGAGCACTAAATCCCACTTGCTTGTCAAGTGACTCATCTAAAATCCATAATTTTAAAAGAAAGTGTGCCTTTGAAGATGTAAAGGTGTTCAGTGCTATTTAGAAAAAAAAAAAAAACCACACCACTGACTTGCATTTAGATACTGTAAAACCTTTGGACCTCAATCTAAATTAATTCTTTACTGCTAAGCATCTCTTATGATGTGACCTTAAGACACCAGCTCTTGAAAAATGATAGAATTGCTTAACTAATTTCATGCTCAGAAATATTTCTCTACCACACAGCTCAGTTCCCATGCTGCTGTTCTCACTTTTGTGTCACTGTCCTTTTAATAGCCCTCCCTTTCCTTGTCCAAATGATTTCCTCCTTCCTCTTATGCAAGTCTTTCTTAAGCATTTTATACCAGTGGGGTGCATGCTCTCAGCAGCCTTGAGAGCCAGGGCAGCGGCTCAAAAGGAGCTGCACTCAGTGGATTTGTGACTACGAAATGGTAAACATGCACAATCTGACAATAGTACTTTGTACCCAGACAATTAATCAGAAAAGGCATAACAGAGCACAGGCATGTAATGACCAGCAATAAAACCCATCATCTCATCAGCTCTGCAGATGAAATGAAAGAAGACCATAGGCTGCCCTTTGTATTTCAGTCAGGTGCACATAACATGCCTGCCCTTGGTACTGTACCTGCTACTCACCTCTGTATGTTCTATAAGGTGTGTACACAGTGCACCAGGACATCACTTTATCCTTGGGATAATTTATCCCAGCACTGCCCAAACTCCCGGGCTGGTGTAGCACCAGCACAGTTACTACATCAAGGGAAGGCGAATGGTCTGCAGAGGTTCAGTCACACCCATGAGGTAAGCAGGAAGGCCTCCTTTCCCTGTCAAGTCCAGGAGTCTCCAATGCTCTCAGCCTAATTTCTGGGGTAAGGTGTGTAGTCTATACTGAGCTCCCTGCTGCTGCCTGAGTTGGTGTGTTTCAAGCTAGCTGGAACATCTCCTAGCCCCACTCTGCAACTACTTCTGTAACTGCCTCAAACTGTTTGCTTTGAGATGGAGCTGAATTTCTACTCACAAAACAAAAAACTCCTGTCAGGTTTGGTTTTTTTTTTTTTTCTTCCCTCTTGGCAGGACTCTTTAGATGTGCTGTACTGCAGTTATCTAAACCAAAACAGACTGTGACCTTCGCATCATTAGTCTTCTCTAGCCTGGGTGATTTCTGCTCAAACTCCCTTTTTATTGTCTTATCGCAGACAACTCAAAGTTCCTGCATAAAAGAAGTGCATGCAGCCTTTTATTTCCTTTTGGATTCATAGAGCTCAGTCAACTGTCAATCTGCAGTACTTCAGCTTCTTTTGCTGCCTGTCTTCGCATCATTCCCATTCTCCTACTTTTATTTCAAATGTCCCTCTTCAAAGCTTGAAAGAGAGACACTACCTCTTCTCGTACCACCTCATCTGGAAGCTGTGAGATGGACTTGGGCTCACATACAACAATGCAGCATCAAGCAGAAGCACTAAATGGGACCACCCAATGCTGCCAGGCATGATGTTCACAAAAGAAATGTAAAACTGAAAAAAAAATCGCATCTTGCCTTAAGCTTTTCTTTCTTTTCTAGGCATGCTCAGTTCATGGTCATTTACATAAACATAGGAAGAGCTCTGCTTTTACAAAGAACATAGCCTGGACTCAGTGCCTGGTCTCTGACAACAGCCAGGAGCAGATGTTTAGACAAAAAGTGCAAGAATTATGCATACAGTGTGCTCTGTTCCACAATATATACTCCCACACTATGGCAAACAGTGCTGTGAGGACCTTCTAAGCTGGAAATTGTGTCTGGACCTCCATAATCATCAATGGATTGATGCCCCAGGAGCTAAATCTGGTAATTTGCATGTGCAAGTATTTTTTAATATATTATTTGTTCATGTCATTGAGTGCTTTCTAGTTCTTTTGATGTTAGACACAATGAATAATCATTCTGTGTACCAAATCCACACCATTTAGGATCAAAATTCTCTCACGGTAGCTCTCAGTTCTTTTTGCAGAAGAGCCCTACTCTAGTACCTCCTGTTTAATGCCTTTTGCTGCACTTGCTCCCATTCTCTGCACCACCTCTAGTGCTACTGTCTCTGTGAGATGAGGGAAGCAAACAGCACCCAGCAGTCACTATGTGATACATTCAGAGAGTGGCGCTACACTGGTTTCTGCTTTGTTTTCTATCCCAATTACCCCTAATCACAAACACTCTATTTCTTCCAAAGGAGCATCTACTCCAGTAAAACAGAGACTGGGTGGAAGCTAGGCATTAGAAAACAGTAAAACAGTGGCTACTGTGGATGTACAATTGAGACTGGGCCCAAACAAACATGGTCTGGCTGAGGGATATCTCTGTTTTGGTCCTCCACCCACATGCAAGCTCTTGGCAGGAGGGCACAAAGGGGAGGAAGAACACTGCAACCACAATGTCTTCTGTCTCAGAGAACCTGCAACAGTAGGCTGAGGTTAAGAAGCAGCTCAGCAGCTGTTCAGCAGCTCTTTCAAGAACACAAATATCCTACTCCTAAGGCCTGCCAGGGGAGAGCTCAGGGTAGGGAACCTGGCACCCAGCCAAGCAGAAGGTGGTCCCACTGAGCTCAGAATGAAGCGGCTGGCGGCTAGTGGAGAACTGCAAAGTGAGCTTTGCCTGCTCAGATTAGATCACTCAAGCTTTTCCACAAGGAACTTTCATGCAAGCAATAAAAAAATTCCTCATGTCATTTGCCATTTTGAATAATATTCTAAGCAATAACGACTCCTCACACTTTGCCTCTCACAAAAGCAATCCTACTGCTTTTGGAATGACACATCTGAAGTGATGAACCCCAAGTTCTTATTTGTAATGATTATGGACAACATGATCAGAAGCACAGAAAACAGAAATCCCTTTCTGACATTGCTCCATCTATAAGGAATCCTTTCACAAATCTTACCTGGCAAAACTGTGTATTAGCAAAGAAGAGGCTTTTTAGGAAGTCAGTGATCTGCAGATAGAGTCTGTGGTGATCCTCTGGATTGTCAGAAGTGCAGCTTGCAAATGCCAAACTGAAAATGGAACCAGATACATTTAATTTCCTGTTCCTTCATTTCTCCTCCTACTTACTTTTTCTCCTCCACATTTTACTTATAAATTTAAAAAGATTTAAATTGTTTTCAAGATGATTCTGATATCATAGACAATAGCCAAGCAAGACAAGGAGGAACAGAGGTGAATGTATTGATGAAATATTGTCTAACAAATGCAAGGAAGATATGTAAGAACAGAGAACAGCAATACAAGAAACCAGGATCACAAGAAAGAGATGTGCTGACATGTGACAGCTATAGTAACACTGTTTTGGGGAAAAATATCTATCCACTGTAACAGAGAGCAACAATGGTTATTTAGTAGTGTATTTGGTAGGGTTGTTCAGAGGAACAGTTTTGACTCCTTTCGTAAAGTCTTTTGAGTGAATGCAGTAACATGTGGTCATGAAATGACATATTAGCTATCACTGGCAGGTTTGTACTCAGCTAACAGGTAACTTTGGCAAAAAGATAAGATATTCATTCTGGACCTCACCTCTATATTCTCCCTGGGATTTTACAAAGTTTTTAATGCCCCTGTCCAGAATTACAAGGCACAGAGTGATAGGGAAGGAAGGGAACAGGATAAATGCTGCCTACTGAAATACTAATCTAATTTGGGACCAAAAACAGGTTGCAAAGATTATGGCAATACATTTCAGTATTAAGGAATACTTAATCTTATTTTAAAATCAAGCAGCAATTGTGACCTAATAAATGTTATTTAATGGATACATATTTATTAAGCTTTATTATGTATTCAAGTATATTCTGATCAACAGCCAAAACAACCTTATTTCCATTCACTCTGTTCTGGAAGTGCAAAGTGGAATGGTGGTGCAAAAGAGAAAGAGATTCACACTAAAGAACGCTGTAAATATGGAAAAATAAGTAGAAAACAGGATTTAAAAAACAGATTAAAAACACTCTTTGCAGAAAGAAACAATCCTAATGAAGACTAAGTAGCAAGAATGCATAAAAGATGAGTCAGAATGTGATTTTCCTCGAGGAAAACAACCCTCTTCTTTCTTTGGTCTACTGGGAAAAAATCAAAGACAGTGCCAGCTTTGTATTTGATATGTTCTCTTTTAGGTAACTCATCGGACCGGCAGAGCAAAGAGATGTTATTATATAATAGGCCTTGTGTTCCTTTGCTGTTAATGTTCAGGTCAACCACACTTTAGCTTGATCACCTCCTTGTGACTGAATTAGGGTACTTGAAAAAGGTGAGGGAGACAATGTTAAAAAAATGATCACTGTTCTCTCATTAAATGAGAACACAGTTTACGATTAGCTGACTTATCCAGGGAATGCCTTATGGTCCTCCTAACCTGGTTTAGTGAGAGAAAGAAAAGGAAAACATTATAAATACTGTGAAAGATGGAAAACTATGCAGAGTGGTGAAGAAAATCAGAAGGACCCCATTTATCCTGAAGTGACAGGGTGCTCTTAATAAGTGGTTCTTACTGATTCTGCCATAAATGCCTATTAATCATTTCACTTTTGCACCTTAAGAGACAGTGTTATTGTGAACACAATTGCTAGAGGCTGCTATTCTAACCATTTACTAAACATTAGGCACAAAAAAAGGAAGCTAGGCTATTGCCTTACTCCACAGCAAACTTGCCGTGGAGTATTGACAGTGAGCTATTAACTTACCCTGTCTAGCAAAACAGGTGAGTTTGTAATTTACCTCTGGCTAGACATTCCCTGAGTCTTGCTTCTGTCAAGGAAACCAGCAGCAACATCAAATGCATCTTCAAACATTACCTATCAGAGAAAACACTTTGGATGTCAAAATATCCAGCCACCCAAAAGTTTTACCTAGGGCATAATTTTTAATAATTAAGTCTTTAAAAGCATGATGTTCTTTCTTTCCATTTAACAGTTATGTTTATGGCTAGAGTAAACCAAGAGGGTTTTATGGAGACAGGAATAATAAGGAATGACTATATTTCATGACTAGGAACACAAGGTTAGTCCACTCCCTTAGGCCTGTGCTTCAACCTCTAGGAATTAGACTTAACATCTCAAAAAAAAATCAGTAAAAAACCATTAATTGTATCAGTGCTTTAGAGACTTGACTGTGGACTGCTGCTTATGGCTGGGGTCCCCCCCAGCCAGTCTCCCCAAATCTGATTCTAGTGTGCAACCTGGCTTACAAAGGAGTTTGGATGCTCCCCATGACAGACAGAGATTAGTTCACTCTGCCCTAATGCAGTTCACACATTTTCTATGCAAGAAAGTACTGCACATGCAACATCCCCATGACATTTCCTAAGGAGGTCAGCAATATGAATTGTGTCCTGAGACTCAAAAAGAACATGTTATTGCAATTACTTATATGCTAAAGGTGGACACCTGTCCCTCCCTTGCAGCTATTAAAATTACACATATGGCTTTGAGCAGCTAGTTGCTTTTAAGTAATCAGCGCTCCAGGAACAGTTTACAAAGAGTTGTCTATTATTTCACCTCTTTTTAACAAATCCCCTGGTCTACTCAGTCACTGACTTCTTGGCTCTGCAGAGATGCACGGTACAGGCAGTCATTAGCCCTGTGCCACTGGAACTGGTCTACAAATACTTTCTCTTTGCTACTAAGTGCTTTGATAAAAAACCCACCCAACCCAAAAGACAACAGGGCTTGGCAAACTGGATATTCCTTCTGGATTTAGCTCATCTGTGCTGCCTGGAGAGTTTGCAGAGTACAGTAACTGTATAATTCGTATTCTTGCTCCCTCCCCCTGGAAGAAGTTAGAGCAAATTTAACTGTTACTTAGCACAGAAGCTCTACAGGTTGGTGGAGACTAGCACTGCACTCCTATAGTTTGCTGTGTATCTTCCTAAGAGAGAATCTGGTGCAGACATTTACTCAAAGTCAGCTTATTGTGTCCACTTACACATTCAAGTGGTCTTGGGAAAGCTTAATTGCAACTCCTGTATGTTTCAAATTAAAAGCTGCAGACACAATTAGCAACTGAAGGCTTGGAGTTTCAGAGGTGGATGATGTGTGTTACTGAGCACTTACTTCCTCTGGTGTGGAGTCTGAGGAACCACTGGCTTCCTCACTGTTACCTTGGCTGTCCCTCACACTACCTTCAGTGCACGCAGGCTCTTGGCAAGCAGCCTTAGGATCCATGAGGAAATCTCTCTGGCTATAGTAGTGCAAGATGCTTTCTCTCCTTTCTTCAGAAAGCTCTTGCCAGAGGTGGGAAATGGCCGTGGAGACCTCAGGAAGAGGTACCTCCTCAGTGCAAACAATTCCATGCTCTATCAGCAGGTCCACTGTGTGCTTATAAAAACACAGGTATCTGCAATAAAAGGAAAGGGAGCATCTCTTAAGAGCAGGCTACAAGGCAGCCATCTACTGTAAACCAGCAGGAGACTGGGGAGTAGCTCTGATTCAGAAGTACTTTACTGACTCCCCCTTCTAAGACTTCATACAATTACTGAAGGTTGCCCAACACTGTTTGAAGATTTCAGCAACTCTGCTCTGCCGAGATTTCATCTGTGACAGGCAGGCTCCAGCCGCAGCCTCAGCAGGACTGCCTCACAACAGAAGCTCCAGGCGCTGCAGGCTGTACTTGTTGCACAGGCAAACCTCATTTTGGCATTCAGTAATTTTTGAGTTACTTGCCTTTGTATCCTGAGGCTTTGACACTGTAAGTCACTTTTTATACTTCTACTGGCATTGCACTACACTTGAAAGCCTTGGCTGAGGTAATATCCTGATGTATTAGGTACTATACATGGAGACAGAAAGAGACTATTCCAGGCCTGGATGCTCTGATTTAAATGAGCGTGGGAGCTCAATTTCCACCATTTTGCATCTGAGGAAATGCATCCCTAAGACTGACCTCTCTGCAGTCTGTAGTGACACTGGCAATTGAACATAAATGTTGTAATTTCAACCTGGTGAATAATCTCAGAACAAGCCTGCTTCTTCTGTTAGCACTGTAATGTCTGTTTTGGAAAGCAGTACAAAAGGTTATTTTACATTTATTAAATGCTTAGAGCTTCTCAGATGAAAAAAATAAGATTGAAGGAGTACAAACCCAGAGTTCTATAAACAGCAGTCTTTGTTACTAAGTTTGGGCTCAAAATGATTCCTTGGAAAATGTCCCAAATGAGCACATTTCCTGATTAACTGAACAACATTCCATGAGAAAATAACTCAAAAGAGTTCACTTTTTTTAAAAAATACCTATTCCAGCAAACCAATATTGAAAATTTTAAGATAATTCTGCAAGCAAGCCAAACATGTTTACTCTCCAGTTAACATACTCTGGAGTATTTTCCACCATTGCTGGAAACAAAATACCAGGAGGGGAATAAGTGTTCTTATATAAGGTATTGTGCTCATCAAGGATTCTGAATGTCCAGCTCCAAACGAAGGATCTGGAGTTTCTCAAACAAAAGAATATGAATTCAAAAGAATGAATCATTAGACTGCTTTGATAAAGAAATTAAGCTTGAACCATGCCTCAGCTATTTCCTTCCCAGCTGAAAGGAGACAACCACGTTTTGCACTGGACAGAGTACTGTATACTCCTACCATTGTAGCTCCTGCTGCTCAACATGGAAACAAAACCTAGTCCTTTTAAGCTCAAAGCATTTCTGATGCTGCCCAAATAATGTGATTAGATGATCACCAAAAGGCTGTTATTTTCTTTGCTGAAGAGTCCCTATTGTTTTATGCCTGTTTTAAAAGATCAGTTTTTGAGAAGAATCAGTTATGAACCAACTGCAGTCTGCCATAACACTGTAGGGTAAGTGCTAGAGTCCACACAGTACAGGCGCTGGTCTACCTTGCCAGTGAAGAAGGGGAAAGTCAGGTGTTTATGGCTCTGTTGTGCAGCCTTTGATGAAATAGAGCTTACTTCCTCCAGAAAACCTTGATTCAGCACATTTCAAGGTCTTGTAAGTGATACCTTACTACAGCCACCTCCAATTCTCACAGGAGCAAAAGCAGGAACAGTAGCAGGAGGCTGGTGCCACCTGCTGGCATGCCTGCAGTGTCATTTTGATGAAAAACTCAATAATCCAAGAGAATTTTATAAATAAGCACCAGTTCAAAGCAAAAGAAAAGGAACTGCAGAAGTTTTTGTTTATGGTGGTGATCCTGTGGAAGAGGATGCCAGCTGCAGCTGTGGATTCTCCTGCAATGCATGTTTTGAACTGTGGAATGGTCAGGGTGGAATTGACTTTGCTTGATGGTATAGGATAGATCAGACATCCATCTGTTTCTCAAATCTCAGTTAAATGACTAGTCACCCTTTTGGAAAAGCATCCATGACCTGTAAGTACTTCCTAGTGCTGTCTGACAGCAAGGGGAAGAATGTGACGAATAAAATGTACTCAGTCTTAAGATACCAATAACTTTGAAAAAAACCAGTAATTTTACCATACAACTCCAGATTAAAATACATGGCCCACTGACATGAGAACAGTGGCCTTTAATTTTTAGGCCCTGCATCAGGCACTTAGGAGCTGAGGGAGATACAGACTTGCACCCACTAGCTGTAAGTGTAATGCTTATGTTCCCCTCCTCCCTCCTTGTGTTGCAGACATTTTGAGGAGTGCTTTCTGGTATCTTCCAGATGACCACTATTCTGCAGCCCTCAGGCTAAGGACTACATTATCTTCCCTGATCCCATCCAGCCTTATCATGCTATGATCCCACAAAAGAAGTACTCCAAGCCGACAGGAGCTGAGGGTCTATTTCTGAAAGGGGCAACAGTGCTCAAGCTCCTCATAACAATGCCATTAGAGGCAGGATGAACATCACTGTAGGAGAAAGTATCTGCCTGCTCTGGTTCCTGCCCCCCCCAGAACACGTACAGCTAGACTCTTGAGAATTTCATCTTGTGCAGCAACTCCTCTATTCCTAAAATCTAGCCCCACTGCAGGGATACAAATTGATAGCGGTACTGATACCACCAACACACAGGGACATGCACCTGCATGAATAATTCTGCATGAATAACCTCCTGTTCCACCTGAGCTTGCCTGTTAAACCACTGCTGTTAGCAGGTATGTTGCATCTTACTCTGCAAGCCACCTGGACAGCAGTAATGCATGGCCACACATGGACTGACACACTTGAAATAAATTTTTTTCTCTTTCTTGAGGATGGGTGGAAAATCCTCAGAGATTTTACAAGGCTTGCAGAGCTGGGGGCTGCTATAGTACTGGGAGTCCATTCACATGCAAGTTACAGGGATGGGACCTGGGAGGTGCTCAGCTTCATCACCAGCAGGGTCAAAGCTGCTGGCACAAGGCTTCTGCAAGGCAGATACAGGCTCCAGCAGGGCTGCATAAACTGCAGCAACTGGATGCACAGCATCAATGCAAACAAATTTAAAAAATGAAGGCAACAGGGGGTGCACCTACCGTTCAAATTCCACCACATCCAGGGATGAAGTGTCTGGAGACTGAAAAAATTCTGTCTTCCCATCCTCTTCCATTGTTTGTTTTTCACATTCTTGCATCAAATACCAGACAGTAGAGTCATTCTCACTCACAGGTTCCGAGGCTGATGCAGTGCTGGAAAGAACACACATGAAAAAAAAGCCACATGAACAACTTAACTGGATTAATAAGGCCCTTGTCATGGTCACTCCAGAGTCCAGGACCATTCTTCCCAAGCCAGCTTTCTCCTTCCCCTTTTGCTTTGCAGGTAAATGAGAATTCCTTGGTGGAGATGAGCTACACAGAAGGGAAAGGAAATATGAGCACTGACTGTAAATAAGACCAACAACATGCACAGAGTGTCTGTGCACTGTACAGGAGGATTACAAGGGTCCAGGTGAAATCTCTTCATCTTTTCCTCACAATGAAAGGCCTTAGCTTGGAAATTCAGTAACAATGACAAAGAGGTTCAGAAATGCTGGGATGGAAGCAAGTACAAAGTATCATCATCTTTCTTTGATTGGTATAAGCCCTTACCTGTGATTGCTGAAGTGCCTCTTGACATATTCCTCCCTGACTTCCTCCAAGCTGGATGGGTTCCCATCCTCCAGGCTGAAGGACTCTGTCGTCAGCAGAAAGGTTACTGTCACATCAGTGGCACTTTTGGCTTCCCTCTCACCTTCAGCCCCAATCAAATAGAATAATTTCAATAACTGGTTCTTTATGAGCCAGAGCATTTCGTTAGGCAAAAATGATGTGAAAGGAGAAACTTCTGCCTCTCCTACAGTGTAACTCCTACAGAGTTTTTGATCATTGAGGAACATAGAATCAATGCCTTCTTCCTAACATTGGTCTGACAGAACTGATCCTGAAAACAACAAGCAAACCAAAGTCCAGGCAAGCACCAGTCAACACAGTTATTTTGTGATTGCCATATAATAAGCAAATTACATGTAAAAACCCCTGACAACCGACCCATGATTCACAAGCAGTACGCATATATGAAAGTAAATACAAGGGGAAGTTTACCTCCAAACTCTGCTCAGCCAGCCTTGCTACTTGTGATATCTTAAGTTTTACTCTGTCAAATTATTTCTTCTACCTATGACTGACTTTTAGGGGTTATCCAAGGATGTGGGTTGAGGCGATTGCTCATTTTAAGCACTGTGATTTTTAATTTATGCGAATTACTGGAGGTGCAAGTTGCATGAATAGCAATGGTTTTTTTCTAGCTGACAGCAATTTGGACACTTGAAGGGACACAGAAATACATCCAAAGTCTCTATCGCATCAGCCCCTGGTCCTGCTTGCTACCCCTGGAGGCAGTGGCCAGCATCAGTAAACAGAAGCAAGGTTGGTGAGGGCATGAAGCCCCGCAGCGGGACCTGCCTCAACTGCTGACAGCACACACTAGACCCGTGTGACACATGGTGTCGCAGGTGAAAACAGAGAAGTGCATGAGGACGACCCGCCAAGCTGAAAGAAAACAAAACCGCCACATCTCTCTTACCCATTTCTATCAGAGTAAATCCTTAACTAGAGGTTTCTATTTCCTGTACTAGGAAATCCTCAACAGCTTCTCTGTCCTTCTCCTTTACCTCACACCAGAGCTTGCTGTTCTGAAGTTTAAGCTCTGGCTGTGTGTGACTTGCAATGCTAGGTGCTTGTGATGGCTGCAACTTGCGCTGCACCCTGTCACTGCAGCCGGGAGGAGCACACGTGCTCCTGCAGCCTCTTGGTGGGAGCCCGAGCATGCAGCCTGGGGACCCACACCAGCCCCACACCTGCTGGGGGTGAATCGTCAGCAGGATGACAAAAGGCACTCTGCCTGAACTGCCTGCTGCTGTGGGATAGCGGGAATTACTTGTTTCTTTCCTTCACCTAGGCTGGGGAGGGGGTAGGAACGACTGAGAGCCAGAGGGGTATTTCTGAGGTGCAGTGCTCTGTGAGCAATAAGTAAGGGATAAGACTTTTGCTCTATCCCTTACTTATTGCTACAACTAAAGCCACAGTTGGCTCTAATGCTTTAATAGGCTCAGCTGCATACCTATCTGTCTCTACTTAAAAAATAAATAAAAAAACAAGTCCAGGCACTCTGTCCAAGGCAAATACTTGCATACAGTACCTTTCATCTTCAGCAAAGAACCCAAGGTTTGCTCCAGCTTCTGGATAGATTTCTTAGCCTTACGCAAAACCTGATACTAAACATAAGACAAAATCAGAACTGAATGCTCTCTGCTCTGACTGGATTAATGTTTTAACATGCCTTGGTTGTTTTCTTCACTTCTGCTTCATTTTGACCTTCAGTTATCTCGATGTCTCTGTGAAAACAACTGTTGGTTTTGTTTCACCAGATACACTTAACCATAGGAAAAGGGGAAAGAACTAATACCAGAGCAAACTTAAATATAGAATATAAATGTTTGAGTATATATTATGCAATACATACACATAACACCCAGTCACATAGACATTTGCTACTTAACTCTGATCTTCTTTCGTCAGCAACTGGTCTTGTTTGAATCGTTCTCTTCTTGGACTATGTCCAGAAATACCATGCTGTGAAGTCTTGTTGGATGTCTACCAACTTCAGGCATAAGACTTTACTAATAATTTCCCATGAGAATTTTGCTAGGAGAAGCCTTTGCCATGTTCTGCTCTCAGCTACACTGATGTAAACTGGAATAACTTTGGTGCTGCACATCATTCCTTCACCATTTATAGCAAGCATAACTGAGAACATATGCCCAATGCATTTAAACATACACATCTCAAAAATATTTCAAGATTTATGCAATCAGTGAGACCACCCATGGTCACTTTAGACAGGACATCTACCTTGCAGAGCTTTCACTGGATATTTTAGCCAGAAACAAAGCACAAAAGATGCTGAACTTCCTTGGCCCCCAAAAGTCACACAAGGGGCACATGATACTATGAAAAAAGCAATTTTAAGAATTGGTAGGTGAAGACAGTCCCCTCAGACTAGACAAAACAAGTATCTGTTTAGTCTTGGCTTCTGCGATCATGGTGACTTCAGCTTAACTTGCATCTTGTTCAGAACATGGCAAACTAAACTCTTACCTTGGACTGCATGAGAGGTATGAGGCTCAGCAGGCCCTTTACAGGGACAATTTCTGTCCTAAACAGTCATTATGCTCTCCATTTTACAAACTGGAAAACTAAAAGTAATTAATCTAACTAAATGAACTGGTGGCAGAACTGAGGATAAAAGGACTCTTTATGCTTATTCCTCTGCCTTGAGCATGGCAATATCCATCTTTCCAGTAGCATTTTGGGTTAATTTAATCTTTATAAACAATTTTATTTTTATTAAATAGTTTCTTAGTTTAGTAGAGACCAATAAACAGTACTGGTGGTGGTTTTTTTCCTGACTTATTTTTCCAGAGTGTCTTGAAGACAGAGTACACCTCATAAGGCTCCCTCCCCTATAACTTCTTCTGTCCCTAAACAGCTGCAAAAAACTGTAAGAAAAGTGCAGATAAGGCACATGATAAACCCATGACCCAGAGACTACAAAGTAAACAATTTGCTTACACTCAGCTGGCAGCTTTGAAGTAAAAGAGACCCAGGAAAGCTGTGCCCAGTGAAATTACACACACACGGGCACCGGTAAAGATACAGTGGTCATCCTAATAAACCTGGCTAAATTTAAACCTACCCACATATGTTAGATAGCAATGCATAGAGAAATAGTCCCTGCTCCGCACCTTTGAGGCCGAGTTGTCTGACTGGGATAAAACAGCTTCCCGCAGGCCGCTGAAGAGTTGTGCCAGCGCAGCCCGGTGGCGTGCCTGTGACAAGCGCCGCTTTGCCACACGGGGTTCTACCTCCTGCAGCTGTGTCAGGGGACTGGGACTCACTCTGGCATGTTGCTTACTACAGTTTCCAGCTGCCTCCATCAAAAGCTGCAATACAACATTTATTTATACCGAGTAAATATATAAGTGAAGAAATCTTACAGCCTCTGTAGTGGACAGACAAAAAAAAAAAGTAAAGTTCAGGGTGACTGACAAGAATACTCCAGCTCATTTTTCCACAGGAAACTACGGAGTTTGGAATTGCCTCTTTGCCTGAGGGATGCCACCTGCAAACTCTGACCAAAAACTGACCTACCACTGCTGATATCCTGCATGGCATGAAACACAGCTGGGACAACCCTCCCGCCTCCTGCACCCTTCCCTGCAGTGATCTGACGCTCTGTTTCCATGGGCCATCCAGGCCTCGGCTTCACGAAGGGCTGAGACTCCTCAGCTCCCCCCGACATTACTAAAAGCCAGATTTCTTCACAGCACCACCATTTTTTTTTCCCGGTTAACTGTGACACTGGCGTAGGCAAAGACACTACACATACACATGCAGGAGAGAGCCAGACCCACGCGCGGCCAGGCCCGCTGCA